CTAGTAAAGCATCCAGCGTTATTTCTCCAGTAGTTGAATCAATATCAAATAAATTACTGCTTGGATCACCGTCAACATTTGCAATTGAATACTCAATAATTGCATTGGTGCCTAAGTCGGAGGTATCTGCACATTGTGCTCCCAAATCATAGATGACATTCCCAACAGCAGTGTCTTCTGCTCTTGTTTCCACAACACTAGAGAAAGTGCAGACAGGTTCATTGTCATTATAGTCGGTAACTGTTATTGTCACAGTTGCGGTTGCAGCATTTGACGATGGGGTAATTCCTCTATCTGTTGCAATAACACTCAATTCAAACGTATCAGTAGTTTCACGGTCAAGTGGTGATTTCAGAGTAATGATTCCCGTGTCTTCTTCTATTTGAAAGGGAGTTGGACCAGTCATTGCAAAGTAGATTTCGCCATCTGGACCCAAATCGGCATCACTAGCAGATACTTGAAACACAAATTGACCAACAGGGATATTTTCTTGCTGTGATGTTGTGTATGGTGTACTATCGAATATTGGGGTTTCTGTATTACGTCCTTCAACATGCACTGTAACCATTGCAGTAGCAGATCTATAACCCACGCCACCATTTAGATCCCTTGCTTCAACATTGATTTGGAATATTTGCTGTGATATATCATCATAATCTAAAGCCACAGTGTTCGTTATCGCACCAGTACTTGCATCAATAGTAAAAATCGAGGTGGGATCTGGATTACCACCTTTAAAGATAAAAAAAAAGAAAGTAACAGTCTCGATATTTTGTTAACTAGAATACAATTGTCATATTATATAAAATAATGCACAGGTACAGTATGATATTATGCTCACAGACGATGACAAGTGATGTGCTAAAACAATAAATACAATTGATTAAGCCAACGGTCAGTCACAATATTTTAATGAATATTATGACATTTTTTTAAACCAATTTTGTACTTACCAGTGATAACATATTGAATAAGTCCATTATCCGCTGGGTCGTCATTATCTGAGGCAATCACTGTTTCGATTGGAAGATTATTTAGATCTTCTGGCACAATCACACTAGAACAGATCATCACATTTGAAGTAAAATGGATCCTGAATGTGCACATACATGATGTAATGGATTTTCTTTGATTCGGGCACATAGTAAATACACGGACATGGTATACGTTGCATGCGTCCGTGTCAAAAGTAACACGCTGATTATGTATACTAAACACCACATTCGTACATGTTTATATTTTATTATCACTAAATTTATTTTAATTCGCTCGATTGAGATATTGATGCCTATAATGAGATATTGTACAAGTTTACTCTGACTTACCTGTAAATTGTTGGACTGAATATTGGTGGGTTATCATTCACATCATTGACTGTTAACGTTACAGTAACCGCAACTGGAATACCACTAGAGTCCGTAGCTTCTACTGTGATGGTGTGGCCTGTATCTGTCTCATAGTCCAGGTTTTGAAGTAGGATTACATCACCATTTGTATTGACACCGAACTGTGGACATGTACACGCAGCGGCTATACTGTAGTGGACAACACCGTGTGGAGTGTCTGCCGAATCCCCATCATTGGCTGTCACAGTTACAATAGTCGAATATATAGGAATATCTTCATCCACAGCTGGGCTATACGTAGCTGAGACACAAAACAATATCAATATATTAGAGGGAATGTGAGATCAAATTTAAAACTGTCATTTCAAGATGCTATTATGCTAATCGCTAATGTGTACAGATAGATGAATACACATTATGCACGTGTACGCAAATGTACGCAATCGAACACAGTAGAAACAAATAAACGACGTGACTGGCCAAGAAATTACAGTGAACTGTGTGAAATACATAATATGGGCTTCGATGTCGAGTGTTTAAAATTTTAACCTTAATACAAATTAAGAAAAGCGTTAATTATGTGTAAATTATCTTGTTCGTCAAATAGTCTAAAAGGCATTCAGCTCTCCAAGTCTTATGCAATTACAATAAAAAGATTTGTTTGTTTGTAATGAAATACAGTTACTGTACCGGTGGGAAGTACGTCTAAATGTAAACTAGAAACCAAATTGGCAAGCTGAATGTTTCACATAATTATTCCACAAAATGTTCACGATGTCTTTAAATATGCGAATGTACTCACTGGGGCTGAAGGCTGGATCGTTTCCTGGCTCATTGACTGGGAGAATATTCACTATTACATCTAACAAGATTTCATGTAGTGCTGTATCTTTGACAGAAATCTCCATACTGTAGGATCGTGTACCAAGGTCATAATCTTGTGCAGTATTCAATTTAAAATCCCCTGTCGCAGTCACTTCGAAGGGTGGATTCATGGCTGGAACTATAGTGTATGTCAGAGTATCAGAGGTATCGTCATCGCTACAAATTGTACCAAATGGGATAATAACATAGGGTACCGTTTCATCTTCGTCCACGTTTTCCACAAATGACATAGACGTACATGCCGGGACATGGTCGTTTATATCATCGATAGTTATAACAACATCGTACGTGAGAGCGGGGCCTGCGCTATTTTCAGCTTGTATGGTGAGTGTGTAAGACGGAGGTGCTCCTGCTAGAGATTCATAATCTATAAGATTTGCCACTCTGATGTTGCCACTACTGTCAACGTAGAATAGATCGTCAGTGTCCCCTGCAGTGATTGAATACACCACCTGACCATCGGCAGTGTCAACAGAATCGGCATCAGTCACAGGGCAACTAACAATTAAAGTTCCTACGGCAGACTCCTCGTCGATACTTGAATCACATGAACCAGCAACAGGAGCAACTGGGATGAATTCATTTTCTGGGAGGATTGTGACAGTGATATAAACAGTTGTACTTTTCGGAAGTGGCGTTCCTTGGTCAGTTACGACAAGTTCAATGTTGTACTGGTGGTTTGGTGTGTTATCATAATCCAAAGTACTGCCTCCTGTATGGAAAATAATTATAAACGTTAAATTATATGAGGTTATTGCGAGGATACACGAAGAGAGCACAGTGGGAGTATCGACCACCGCACAGCAGTCTGAGCCCC